CCAATCTTTGTATTGATCCGATTCATGTTTTTGAATCAAGTCTTGTAGGGTGTCGTTGGCAATTTTGAAAGTTGCTTGAAAGTAAAATGTATTCACAATAATAATAATGATGATAAAAATTATAATATAAAATTATATATATTGACATATTCAAGAGGCATCAGAATGAAAGAGAAACCTTGAAATTCAAGTTCCACTTTTGTTCTGTCACCTCCAAGTGATGAATGACGAAAGTAAGTATGAGGCATCACACTGACGATCATGCGAGGAAGGAAGTCAATGAACAGCATCGGCGCCAAGAATACGTGCCTTGAGTTTCATTTTGAGTCGAGCGATGGCAGCTGAGAATTAAGTGGAGTTATTTTAAACCACGTGGGCTGCATGTTTCATGCGTTTTGAGGTCAACAGTTCGAGGCCAGGGGGCTTGTCTTACTTAATTCATTGATTTATGCAACATTTTATCGGCTTTATTACTGTTTTTTAAATGAAACTCAAAGTGAAGCTATTACAAAGAGAAAGGCTAACAACCACCTCACATGCTACTCTCGTACTTTCCCTCAACAACACCCAAATGAATCCCCAAAGACCTCGGTCGTCAGCCAGTGGGAGAAATCCACATACTGAAAGAATTGAGAAGTGCTTAAGAAACAATGTCGATGCCAAGAAAAGATGACTGACTTTGACCGGCTATCCGTCCAGAAAACAGAGGGTGACTCGGAACTGCAGGTTCCACTGCATCTGGTCTGTGGACTAATTTAACCCAGTATATTGTCTACTTTGTCACAATAAATAAAAGCAATTTGATTAACAGTTTGGAGTCGAAAAGAATTTCCAATCAGGCAAAGCATGATCATTTGGAGACTAGAATGAGACCCAGTACAATCATTAAATCACAAAAACAGCCTATTTAAAACTCTAGTTGTAGCTCAGAGTGGTGTCGGACTGCACTGCAATATAATGCCAGCTGCTTTGAATATGTACATCTTATGCATCCAACTAAACGGGGACATCAAATTGGATTTCATTTCATCATCATTTACCACGGTGTATTATTAAATGCATTTTTTTTTTTTTGTTGCCATTCTTAAAATAACATTCCGAAAGATCTATTCACAAAGTGGCTGGTGAGTGTCATACAAAATGAGTGCCGGAGCACTTTGGGAACAGAAATGGCAGAAATCGGTGTTACCCACCCGGCATCGTTGACGAGATCCAGGAAAGCGTGGAACTTGGCGAACGAGCGTTCGATGCTCACCAGCACGTCTTCGTCTTCGAGGGCGCTGCGGTCCGTCGGTGCGGAGCCCATGGCCGCAAGCGCCTTGGACAGGGAGTTGTTGTTATCACGAAGACGAGCGTTTTCCAGCTCAAACTGAATAAAAAATAAAAAATAAAGACAAAGACAGTTATTGTTTAACTAACAAGAGTAACTATGCTATTATGAATCCCCCCCCAAACACACACACACAATGGAAAAACATTAAGTGGAAAGCAAATAAAATTACTTTTCTTCATTACATCACATATTGACTGAGTGGACTACTATCTGTGAGCAAGACTGCAATAATGGAGAGAAAATGGCATGTAATAATGTTGAGTTGCATCCATCCATAGCGGTTTTAAGTCAAACAAACATTCAGAATCACATTCACGCAATTGGACTGGCAGACGTGCTAAGCACTAGGCCAGCCTGCTGCTTAAGCTCCTTTCAGCACAATATTTCATATAAATAATAGTCGAGATAAAGCATACCGGTACTACAGTACCTCTCTGAGTAAAGATTCAGCTTTTAGTCTGGCTCTGCGCTCCTCTCCCAATCTCAAACGACATTCCTGTAGCGCCATCTGCAGGACAGGCACAACAAACGACATTAAAAAAAAAAACATTCGAGCAGTCAACCTCGAGCTAGATGTGGCTAACCTGCATACGATCGAGCGGCCTTGAAATGACGCTGTCCTGGTGGTTGCCATGAGATGGCCTCTGATCTCCTGTCACCACTGCCTCGCCGTCTTCCTCATTGCCATCCTCCTCCTCCTCCTCCGAATCAGACTCAAATGTAACCCTCACGGTGGACGAAGCCTTTTATGGAGTCAGAAGTGTTTGAACTACAATGTAGCAAATATAAAACAAGTCATGAAACTATAAATATGAATCCATACTTGACCTCGAAGATGCGGCGCTGACTGGAAATTGTGGTCTTTTGCATCTGCGGGAGGAAAACCTCTGGAACATAAGAATGCAACTCATGAGCTTTGTGGCCACAAGTCCTAAATCGAGAATGTGCAGCCCCAGTCATCCAGGACACCGGGTGTGAACACTAAATGATCCTGTCACATCCAGAATGACATCGTATCTTCATTCTCTGCTCTTCCTTGTTAAGTGTTGTTAATTCTCAGTCAGATTGTGGAACTGACTGCCTTGTCATCTTCAACCAGTTGCAACGCTATGTGGGTTTTGGTTTTAATTTGGAATGATCCAGCTGAACAGTCTCCTCACCGCTGGCGTCCAGCACGTGCAGCGGAATGAGGCGGCCCATGTCTGGAACAGGAAGCGCGCTGTTGAAGCTGAGCAGCGACTGAGCCTTCACGTCCAGCAGAGGTCATTTTTTGAGGAGCTGAAAGATAAGAGAGCAACATCTGCGAGTGATGCAGTCACAGAGCATGTCTTACAGTTGGGTCAGTAATCAGAAAACCACTGTGCCAGATCAAATGCGAAACTCAATGCCGGAATCCAGCCCCTCACATCATTTTATGTAGCCCACAAGAGCTTAGCGAGTGCGTGGGTGTCCTAAAAGTCTAAACTGTTATGGCCTTTTATTTATGACATGGTAGCATTCCATTTTTGACATGACACAATTGGAGCATTTGTGCTTGTATTTGAAAAGCTGGCACTATTTGTTTGCCCTTGTGCTAACATTAGGCCCACTGCTGTCATTTTTTGGTATCGGTAGTCTCTTTTTTGGGAAAAAAAAATATTGCGAGAAGTGTCAGAAAAGTGACTACCGGTAATTACGGCTAATACGTTAAGTTGCCAACACTGCAGACACAAGTCGTAGCTGTTGCTTGCTACCTCAATTGCATGAGTGTCCATAGGTGTGCACTGGTCTGATCCAGTACTGACATGTTAGATGGCTTACACATTTGTTACTTAACCTTCTCACGAGCATGATTGAAGTGTTTTATTAGGTCACTTAGGAAAGGCGTGGTCAGTATTTGTGTGCGTTGACTCAGGAGAAAGTGTCAATTGTACCTGTTTTTTCTGTGGATGCCCTGGACACCACTCGCCGCTTAGATGCAGTTTTCTGTTGCTCTTTGGTGGCAGGCGTGAGCCAGCAGTACTGGAGCGGACACACAATCACACATTAAGCCATTTTTTTTCTGACTTTACTAATGTCGGAGAGTAGCCGAAACCACTCACCTCTGGTGTCTGTGCTTCAGTTTTCATTTGTGCTTTCTCGATTACAGTCTTAATTAGGGCATTATCTAAAACAGAAAGGAAAATAGATATCCTTTAGCAATGCAATGTGAAAATGGAATGATTGTCATGCAAATTTGTGTTTTTGTTTCATGAGGTCTGTTCTATTTGTTCAGGTTTTTCAGCGGCATCATCTGTTGAAAAATGTGTTTGGATTTGTCTTGAGGCCGCCTCGTGGGCGAGTGGTTAGCACATCGACCTCACAGTGTCAAGGTTGTGTGTTCGATCCCGGCTCCGGAACTTCCTATGTGGAGTTTGCATGTTCTCCCCGTGCCTGCGTGGGTTTTCTCTCTCCGGGTACTCCGGTTTCCTCCCACATTCCAAAAACATGGCAGGCTGATTGAACACTCTAAATTGTCCCCTGCCTACTGCCCTAAAACAGCTGGGATAGGCTACAGCATGCCCTGCAACGCTGGTGAAGATAAACCGGTTCAGATAATGGATGGATGGATGGATTTGTCTATTGGTCCACAGAGCAGTGCTTACTTCAGGGTGAACAAATGCAACTAGAAATGCATGGTCAGAGATAAACCCAAAGTATCTCACCTGATATTTTCAAAGTGGTTTAAAACCATAATTAGGAGTGCGTTGGATGGAGTTGCTGAAAAATATCTTAACTTCATTAAAATTGTGGTAGGGGATAACATTTTGCCCCATGTTGAGATTTCAAGTACATGAACTAAAATGGTGACAGTGGATGGAGTTGCTGAAAAATATCTTAACTTCATTAAAATTGTGGTAGGGGATAACATTTTGCCCCATGTTGAGATTTCAAGCACATGAACTAAAATGGTGACAGTGAATGTAGTACAATGTTTCCAAAAAAAAAAAAAAAAAGCAATGTACAGTGTACTACAGTTAAGACAAACAGTGTGTGACAAAGAGAAAAGTGTGACAACCTGTGATAGATTCTTACCAACTAAAGGGTTATTACGGATATCCAGTACGCAGAGAGTAGAATTGGTCTTCAAGACCTCCAGCAGATGACAAGCTCCGCGATTGGAGAGGCCGCATTTCTGCAGGTCCACAGCTGCTCAGAACACCCCAAAAATACAAAGAACGATCTTGAGGAATACACAATGATATAAACATTTCCTTTGCCGTCATTACATTTCCACCTTCTAACCTTTAAGCCAGAGGTCTTCGGCCAGCTCACGTGCAAGACGAGCAGCACCCAGATCCCCAATCAAAGTGTTACAGTTCAGGGTGAGACGGCGGAGACCTCCCATGCCCTCTAATTTCGGCTGTTGATACCTCAAAGATTGTGACCAGGCGGAGCCATGCCTCTGTATTCCCTGATGCTGAAACACAATAAAGATTGTGCCATCAAAGACACGAAATTAACAATATACAATTACGTGTTGTTACATTTACATTAGGGGGCCACCTATTTGGAAATTCCCTCATCTGAGGAGGGTACTTCTTACAAATAAGAACTGAAGCATGTATAGAATTATATCAGGCGCAAACGAAGTACAATGTCAACAATATTGGCCACATAAAAAAATAGTTGAAAAAACAAAATGAGGAAAAAAGAACCCAAAATATTAATCAAGTGGTGGACAAGTAGTCATGAACGTCTAGAATCTAGAGTCTAGATTCTAGACGTTCATGACTACTTGTCTAGACTCTAGATCCTGCTTGAGGAAAATGGTGGGAGGGGAAAAAATAACGTCATCTGTAATGAGAAAATAAAGATTCACCCCCCCACCCCCCAAAAGTGTCATAACATTTCAAGGAAAACAAGATTTTTGGTAACTTCTGTTTGTGTGGAAATTTTGACATCCACTCCCGACAACAGCACTTGCCTTGTAATTTTGCCAGTTTCAGTCATTTTTGTCTGCCACTAGATGAAGACAAAGTACTATTCAAGACTAGGACATCAACAGAGGGTTCCCTTAACGGCATGGTAATAACTTTCTATTTAAATGTTTTTGATTGATGTGTTCTTTTATTCACTAAATTAAGAACGAGTTACTTTTCCACAAAATGTCTTTTGAAAAAAAACAACAACAGTAGCAAAAAACTACCAAAATGAACTCAAAGTAGGTATACAAGCAAGACTTTTGAAAGGTAATTCCTTGCAACTATCCACAGGTTCTGGCTAACAGTTGTGCGTTTTGACTTTTTCTTTTTAACTCCTTTTTTAAAAAATGTGTGTGCTGGAAGATGTGGGATGCAAGTGGCTGGTAAATTTGGGGGAAGGCGACATGACAGTGAACATCAAATTTCACCTGGATAATGTTGGCGAGATGCTCAGCTCCTCTCCATGTGATATTGCATCCTGTGAAATCTAGTTCTTTGATTCTTGTAGAGTACTTTACACTTTGGCAAATGACTGAAAGATATATCAGGGGGAAAAACAGGCGTGCTAAAATTACAGAAATATAACCCAATTTACAAAGGAAGATTATGTAAGATTGATGAAACATATTTTAGGATTATGTACATCACAACTATGTAAACCACATACCCTCCAAGCCGTCATCTCCAAAAGGACAGTTTGCCAAGGAAAGCGCTTCCAAGGAAACACTTTTTGCAACACCCTGAAATGTTTTTTAAACATTTACATTTATAAGTGGTCAGAATCACTAAAACCAAGGTTCCACTGTACTGTAGAATCTAGGCTGCAATTTTGTGGTCCATTCTTACCTTTGTCAAGCTGACAAGGTCTCTTTCCCTTAGAGGAAGACCGTTCAGCTTTAAAGTCTTCAAGTTGGGAGAAAGTGATAGACATTCCTTCAGAGCTTTGCACAACTTGAAAGTCATGTCCTTAGAGCGAATAGATGGGATCTTCTTCCTGAACACTGGCTTGTAGTACCTTCTATCTGTGACATGAAAGACAGAGGTTCAGATGCACAGCTGGACTCAACGGAGCTCAATGTTACGTCCTTTTTAAGCCTGACCTGGATCTCCACACCCGTGGCTTGTCTGGTACGTGCTAGTAATTGCAATGTGGTGAAGGTGCCTATTGATAGAGATGGAGTCCAGAATGGGAGGCCAATCGGATAACTTGACCTTGTCTCCATTGAAGTCCAGAATGCCTTGGTCGAGATGCATTTTTACAGCAGTGAGGGGGATGGTTTGCTCTCGGGTGCAGGCATATGTGTAGTATTCCATGAAGTCATGAGCACCTCGCCTCTTGATCTGAACACTTTCCTGGACCATTGCTTTGGATGGAAGAAGAATTGGGTCATAAAACCGTATTTTTCTGACTACAAAGCTACAATCAGAATGCTGGTCTTAATGTTCAATTCCGAGATTTCTTGAAAACAAATGGCTCCAATCATGTTGTCGTTTTATTAAGATAAATTAAACTCACAAGTGTTTGTTTTTTTTTTTTTTTTAAAGATGTTGAAATGGCAATACTGGCTATGCTTTTACAAACCTGAAACTCTCTGTTGGCAGCCCTTTTGTAAGTGTGAGCAACACACATCAGCGTGTGACGATGCAAAAATAAAGAATTTATTATCATGAATTTGCTTAATTTCCCAGGAAAGTTTGGTTGGAAAATGATTCTAATGGAATGTACGTGATCTTAATATTCATTTGTCGTTATGAATATGAGACGGGTCCTTGGAAAATTGTCTCTGGGCCCCAAAAGTTTGGGAACCCTTTGTAATAAATTATAGTTAAGCATGAACGCTCGCCTCCTAGCAACTGCCGTGATAAAAAGCATCGTTGTGAGCAACGCGCTGCTAATAGTTAACGGTAACATCGCAACGCTGTTACTTGACATACCATCCGATGTTTGAAAACATTGACTTTGACATACCTGAATATCCACGAAATAACTCGGTCTGTTTAGTTCTCGTTGCTGAAGCGTTTGGCAACTTCAAGGGTTTGTTGTTAGGCACAAACGGTAGTAATTCAAAAAAAAAAAAATGACGCCAACTTCTTCGTTCTACGACGTCATGACGTTCCATTTGATGCTGAACACTCGGGCGTCCCCTATCGCTTGAATTACACAGCCTTTGGCGGATGAACGACAGTACTGTAGTGATGGGAATTCCGGCTCTTTTTAGAGAGCCGGTTCTTTTGGCTCGGCTCACTAAAAAGAGCCGGCTCTTTCGGCTCCCAAATGGCTCCTCAGGTTTTTTGTTGCTTAAATTAGTTTACTCCCAAAAATAATGTAAAATTATGTGTAAAATGAATTACGAATGTAAAAAATATACAGTATATCAAATATTTATTATTTATATGGCTTTATATTCTTCTGAACATACTCAACATGGCGTACAACATGGAGTGCTACAAAAAAATAAATTACAAAGTACAAAAACAAAGACCCATCTCAAAACAAGGTCAACAAAAAGTTCCAATCTCTGATTGTGCATATTTATAAGTGTTTAAATATTTACATTAAAACAACATAAGTAAGCTTTGATTACCAAACAACAAATGATAAATTAATATTTGATATTGGACATTTTAACCTTGCACAGTCTACACGCTGCCTTTGAACTATCAATTAAGTTGAAATCAGTCCAAATTTCACTGCGTTTCCTATCCATTTTCTCACCTTTCCACTTTCCACCGTGTAGTTTTTTCTCTGTACTGTAGCGCTATCGAGCTCTCTCTCGTCTCCCTGTCTCTCCTGTTCGTGTGCTGCTCACAGTGTGCTGCTGTTTCTCTGACTCCTCCCCCTTCTCTTCACTGAAGCGCGCGCGCGTGTGTCTGTGTCTGCGTGTGCGTGCGCACGTGTGTGTGTGTGTGTGTGTGTGTGCGTGCGTGCGTAACCCTCTCCTCCCTCTTCTACCACGAATCTTGACCAATCACGTGCGGCTTTAACCGAAAGGGGGAAAAAACAGGAGGAAAAAAAAAGTCGGCTCCCATTAAAGCGGCTCCCTCTTAGGAGCCGGCTCATGTCGTTCACTTCAAAGAGCCGGCTCTAAGAGCCGGCTCGTTCGCGAACGACACATCACTACAGTACTGTACTATCATAGTTTACAACTGGCACTGTGTACCACAAATATGATTTCGTAATCGAATTGTACCCACCCTTCTCTTATGGTTAAAGTTGACAATGAAATGAAAACAAAACACATTTTGTTAGTTTCCCCCAGCAAGTTTATTTTTCTAACATCCAAACTTAAAGGGGCAGTGTATACATTTTTGTCAATGTTTAGTTCAAAAACCTCCTCTTAAATTTCTGCAAATATGCAAAAAAATGTTCTGTCACATCAACGTCATTTTTAAATGTAATTGTAGGTCAAGTATTTATATTATATAGGGCTCCCGACGGAAGGCTGCCATGTTTTGCCGCTATCTTTCTTATGCGTATAGGAGACGAATTTAGCAAACGCTTTTGTAAACAAGAAAATGTGTACGGTATTTACTTGAGAATGCATTCCCGATAATTATAGTGAAGGTTTCTTTTCCTAGATAAAGAGGTTCATTTTCCAAGGATAAGGTTTTACTTTTTATACTTTTACAATTGTTTTTATGGTGAGGCGGCGTCACAACAATGAGATGATTTACCACCAAACAATCGAATCATTTTTTTTCCTTTGAGTATTGTGTATACAGCTGGAAGCCCATCACGTTTATCAGTAACAATGAAGTAGCGTTCAGTTTCAAAAAAGATTGGTGACCCATAATTGACAGTATGTTTACTTTGACATTTCAGTCTCTATTAATTTTTCTTGAGAACCAATGATCAACTTTTTCCTGAAAAGAGGCACTCTTTTGGAATTACCGTGGCATTTTAGGATACACGGGATAGTTACATTTGTCATGAATATTACAACTATGTGGAGGTCCTTGGAAAAGTTTCTCCTCTGCTCGGACTCAAAATGTGTGCGAGCCTCTGCGGTCTGGTCGACACAGTCGTGTTGTTTCAGAGAAAGACCCTCTTTCCCAGTTGTATTTGAACGCACCGCGACAACGCCCTCTCTTTCCATCCCGGGGGTTGTCCTTGTCGAATCGCATTGGTCGGTCCAAACGCCAATCAAAAATACTGCGTTCCCGTAATCCCAACCCTCGGTGTTTGGATCCATTGGGATTGGGTAACCACACAGTACGGGGCCAACGACCGTCATCTATCAAACGCATAGAAATCACCGCGCCAGTCGTTTCCTCGCTGGATTACGTGTTCACTACATCATAAAGGATTTGTGGCCACGCAGAAGGTAATTTTCGCGTCACTAACGAGCTCATAACAACCGTTAAACGATAACCTTATCGGTGTACGATTGTTGTTGGCCTGCTGTGTTTTTCCTCCCGATACATCATTCGCCTTTCAATACTTGTGCGTGTGCTGTGTAAGGAGAAGAACAATATTTAAGATGCTTTAACAGTCGAGCTACGTTTAATATTCCACGATAAAATATCAAGACAGAAAATGATGCGACTCTAATGTCAATCTAGGACGTTAGGCGTCTCTGCATCTGGTGCTGTCCACTTGCTAATGCTATTGCTAACGCCCACCTTATTGAAACGATGCAATGTGGATTGCATTTTCTGTGATCTCTTATTGAGGATCACTAATCAGAATTAATAAATTACACACACACACAAGCATATATATATATATATATATATTCACACCCATACATACATGCATACAGACATATACTTAACATATACATATTTGTGCATATCGTCCTCCAAATGGCAAGTTTTTTTTTTAATTAAATGTTTGTTTTTTTTAATTCAAGCCATTCACGTCAAGTAAAATTGTATTTGCGTTGCAAAAATTCCCAACAGACGTTTT